TTTCTTTGTTCATTTATTTGATACAATGAGGTTTTACTTGAAGCTAGAGAATTTTAGGGGTTGAAAAACATATTTATTGTTCCCTTTTTTTTTTTTTTTTTCAAAAAGAAGGCAGCTCTTTTAATTATGTGGCTAACTCGGTTTCATTTAAAAGAAAAAACCACTGTAAGAGAACTGTTTTTAATTTTCATTTTGAAAATTTGTCTCACATGAAGTCAAGGTCATATGATTCTTTCAATTGGATTCAACTGTCAAGCTCTTGGATATATGACCACTGATTCGGTTTTGTTTTTGTTATTTATTTGCTATCCTGCAGAGAATGGTAGATGAAGAGGAGCTGCAGTTTGGTGAAGAATACATGAATGAACAAGATCCTAGTATACTACACTTCCTTTTGGCATCAGGAGATGATGTATGTCTTATTAATTGCAACATGTTTCTGCTAATAGCTCACATGATAGAAGAATTTCTTCCAACTTTTTGTAGGTTTCTAGCAAGCAACTCCGTGATGACTTGATGACCCTGCTTATAGCTGGGCATGAAACATCTGCTGCAGTTTTGACATGGACATTTTATCTTTTGTCGAAGGTGACAAGCAATTTCTCAGCACATATCAAATAGGTGCTTGGTTATATTTCACTATTTTTACTTTCTTAATGACTGTAGGAACCTAGTGTCATGGCAAAGCTCCAAGATGAGGTAACCTAAACTTGTACTGGCATATAGTGCACCTAATAGATTTATGCTATAAAATTTTGTTTGGTCTTAATCATTTGACCCTAATCTAATTTTCTATTTCCTCTTTCAATCACATGATTTTTCTTAGGTTGATACTATTATTGGAGATCGGTTTCCAACCGTAGAAGACTTGAAGAAACTAAAGTATACAACTCGAGTAATTAATGAGGTAAGGAAATTAAATTCAATATAATTTATAGTTCCTATTAGTTTGATTTTTGTCTTACAAAAGGTTTTGATATTAATTGTGTTATGACCTCTGCAGTCACTCCGGCTCTATCCACAACCTCCGGTCTTAATTCGCCGTTCTATTCAGGATGATGTGCTTGCACAGTATCCCATAAGAAGGTTATATCCTAGTAATATGTCCACGGTCACTACTGTTCTTGGCACCAGTGTATATTATTGAGACTGATGTTCTTTTGCATGACAAGGACTTGAATAATTTCCATTTCAATTGACTTGGCGAAAAAACTAAGGGAATGAGGTTCTCATTGGAAATGACTGCATTTGGTAGCATCACTAAGTTTCTAGGTATAAGGATAAATTTAGGAATCTACCAAACACAAATTAGAGGGTGAAATACATACTTGGAAACCTGTAAATTTCTCAAAAGTTTTGCAGCAGATTTTCCTCATTTGGATTCCCATCTTCGGATCTGCTTATTGATCACGTGGTCAATTACAGAAAGAGATTACTTGGTGATTTACCCCCTATATGCCTTTTCATTTTTGAGATTCAAGAGGTCTGGTTTGTGGGAATTATAGAGATTTTGGATCTCAACTTTTCACTTGGATTTGCTATCTATCCAAACACCATAATCTAGTCTCCCATTAACCACCAACTTCATCTCTTATAATAACTACACCCTGTTACCTCCGTTGTATCCTGAGGTTGATTGAGTTCCTATAACTATCCTTAATGGATGGTGGGGATGATTTTAGGTAGGTTCTTTTTGGTGCTTATTACCTTAGGTTAAGATTGGTCCATAATGACCACCAAATTCGTGATTTGACCAACCTAAATACCAACGGTAGGTGTTAAAGAGTGTAAGAATTAGATAAAAAAATATTGAATATTTTCTTATGTTTTATTGAAACAAAAGTAGGGATATATATACATGTAAACGGATTCATATATGCTAATCAACATAAATTACCGTAATAATTTTCTTCCTAATTAAACTTACATATTTGGAAATATTATCATACTATTATGTCAGAAAATATTCTATAATATTCTAACACTCCCCCTCAATCTGAAGTATAGATATTAATCATGTCTATATTGTTTCGAAGATACTCAATTCGTGTTCCATTCAGAGGCTTTGTGAATATATCACCAAGTTGTTCTCATATTTTCACATAACCAGTAAATATAAAGTTTAGCTGAATCTTTTCTCAGATGAAGTGACAATTAATCTCGATATATTTGATTCTCAATCTCGATATGTTTGATTCTCTCATGATACACAGGATTTGAGGCAATATGAAGGACAACCTGATTATCGCACCAAAGTTTTATAGGAGATGTGGGATTCAAACCCATTTCTTCTAAAAGATGATGTATCCATAAGACTTCACATGTGGACTGGGTTATACCTCTATATTCAAACTCTGCGCTTGAGTGAGATATAACTGTTTACTTTTTACTTTTCCATAATACGAGATTCCCACCAACAAAAACACAATAGTTTATAGTAGACCTCGTATCAATTTTTGATCCTGCCCAATCAGCATCTGTAAAACATTCAATGTGAGTATGTCCGTGATTTCTAAATATTATGTCGAGTTTTGGGGCACCTTTTAAGTAACACAGAATCTGTTATAGAATCTACCAATTTTTAACTATAGGTGTAGATATAAATTGACTTACAATACTGATAGAATATGCAATATCTGGACGAGTCATAGTGAGCTAATTCAATTTTCCAATAAGTTATATTTTTTTAATTCATCAAGGGGATCACCGTCATCTTTTGTAAGATATACATTTGGTACCATAGGCGTATTGCATGGCTTAGATCCTAACTTTCCTATTTTTGCAAGTAGATCAAGTACATATTTGCTCTATGATAACAGAATCTCTTCCTTACTTGTTATTTCAACCCTCAAGAAATAGTTTAGTTGTCCCAAGTCTTTGGTATTGAACTTGGTATGCATGAATGACTTGAGAGAGGATATTCCTGTATGGTCATCTCCCTTAATCACGATATTATTAACGTAAACAATAAAAAATATAATACCAGTTGTTGATTGTTAATAGAGGGCTGAATGATCACATTTGCTCATTTTCAATCCGAATTCACATACTACCTCACTAAACTTGCCAAACTATGCATGAGAAATTTGCTTATGATCATATAAAAATTTCTTCAAATGACAAGTTTTCTCTTACTCTCTCTAAGTAATAAATTCAAGTGGTTGCTCCATATACACTTTTTCTAAAAGATCACCATGAAAAAATACATTTTTAATGCCTGCCTAGTGGAATGGTCACTCTCTGGAGACTGCAATAAATATGAATAAATAGGCAAAGATAAGTTTTGTCACTAAAGAGAATGTATCAGAATAGTCCACCCCATAAGTCTGATCATAACTTTTTGCTACCAATCGAGTTTTAAAGTCTTGCCACAGAGCTATCTGGATTCACTTTGACTGCAAATACCCATTTGTACACCCACAACCTTTTTTCTCTTGGAAAAATCTACTAGATCTCAGGTATGATTATTATCAAGAGCATTTATCTCCTCAAGTATGACATTACGCTTATCAGGGTGATTCAGAGCATCCTTAACTATCTTGAATATGGAAGTGGAATCTATAAAAACAATTAAAGAGCTAGACGAATCAGGCAAATGATCATATGAAATGAAGTTAGCAATAGAATAAGTAGAATGAGGAAGGGTGCATTGACGTGTACCTTTACAAAAACTGATGGGGAGATCAAGATCATGGGTGGAAGAATCAGATGATGTAGAAGCTGGTGCAAGGCATGTATCATTAATCTGTTGTCTTTTGGAATAAATATGAATAATGGGCGGTTGTTCTTGAGTTAGAAGCATACTATCATCAATTTGTTCAGAAAATACATTAGAAGAAATACCATTATCTGGTTGCTCTGTAGAGGTACTATTCTGGAATATATAAATGAGTCACTCATCATCCTTCACTTAATCTGTAGAACTAGACTGTGAGGAAAAAAACGGTATATTCTCCGAAAAGACTACTGTCAAAAGTGTTAGACATGGCTGTTTGATCTTAAGAAAGAAAGAGAGAGAGAAGAGAGAAATAGAAAAGAAACAAATAGAGAAATATGAGAAATAATTTTATTCTTTTTCTTGATTGATTATAATATAAAGATTAGACCTTTTATACATTATAAGCAATTAAAGCAGCCACTATCATGGCCATTGCAGCGGTAGCTGCTGTGAAGTAAGTTTAAAACTTTAACTCTAACCCTAACCCTAACCCTAACCTTAATTGATATTTGTAAAAGACTAATTTACCTTGTAAAAGATTAATTTACTCATTTTATTATTTCTCTTTTTTTTTTACCCTTAATGTCCTGACAACTACATTGGCTGATACTAGATATTTATTGGGATATGAAGAGTAACACCGGTATCCCTTTTGTAGGCCGAGAATATTCTAAAAAGACACTTCAAGACTTTAAAATCCAACTTAATAATATTTGGTTGAATCTCTCGAACATAACAAGTACTACCAAATATCCGCGGCTGTATCAAAAACAATAACTTGTTTGAAAAAAGAATACTGTAAAGAATATCACATTCGAGTACTACAGACAACAGATGATTAATCAGGAAACAGGCAGTGGATACAACATCAGCCAAGAATTACTTGGGAACTTTTGTCTGAAACAAGAGGGCTCGAGCAGTTTCAAGTAGATGTCTATTTTTTCTCTCAGCAACCCCATTTTGAGATGGTGTATTAACACAAGAGGACTGATGAAGAATCCTTTGTTGAGTCATATAATTGTGAAATGAGTCTGACATATATTCTTTAGCATTATCACTTATTAGCATATGCATACAAACATTAAATTAAGTTATGGTTTCCGCATGAAAAATACAAAAATGTGCAAACACTTCAAAACGATTTTTTATAAAGTATATACAAGTCATTTGAGAAAAATCATCAATAAAAGTAACAAAATACTTAAATCTTGTTTTAGATATAATAGGACATGGGCTCCAAATATCAGAATGAACTAATTCAAAAGCAGACTCTGTTAGTTTATTAATTGTTGGACTTGACGAGTTACGATGATGTTTTGTAAACTGACATGACTAACAATCTAATGAAAATATATCATGAAACTGATGACACAACTTTTCAACACAGTAAGAGATGGATGCTCCAGCTGACAATGTGTTTCAAATTGAGAGATAATACTAGAGTAGACAACTGATCGAGACACCCAATTATCCATAATTTAGAGACCTTCTGATACGTATTATTTACTAATAATCTGCTTCGTCATAAGATTTTAAAAAAGACAATAATCAGGAAAAAATGAGATACAACAATTAAGATTTTTGATAAATCTACTTACAGAAATAAAATTGAAAGCAAGTTTGGATAGACTTAAAACAGATGTCAGGGTAATGGCGCGAGTTGGTTTTGTAGTCCCAGAACCCTCAATATTATAGGTTGACCCATCAGCAATAATTACAGGAGATGATGCTCTTTATGATCGAAAGCTAGAGAAGATATTAGAGTTATCTTTCATATGATCTGTAGTACTAGAATCAATCACCTATTTGTTTGATGAGAAGATAAAATATTTTTTATCTGATTCAATAGATATAGTGGTTGGTGTACGATCTTTCAAAAATTCTTGAAACTGAAAGAATCTTACATATTCGTCGGCTAAAACTACAATAGTTTTCTCAGAAGTGGAGCTAGCAATAGCAGCAGTAACAATATTTGCAGTTTGTATTCTCTGATTTCAATTCTGTAATTTCTTGCACTGCCACTTTGTATGTCCTTGCTCATGACAATAATAACAAACAATATTATTTGAATCATTATACCAACTATATCCATTACTCTGTTTCCTCTCCTATTATTATTTCTTCATCTTCCTCTAGCAATAAAAACATTAGTATGCTGATTAGGTGTAGTAGTCTCTGTGCGTAACACTCTATTGAAAACTTTCTGAAGAGATGTGATCTCGAAATCAGATAGGATTTGAGATTTAGTAGTCTCAAATTCAAATGGAAGACCAATCAAGAAATTTATTATGACCATCTGCTCTCTCTCTGTTTGTTGTACCTTGATATCAGTACTGAACGACAAAAACACATTAAACTCCTCATATGT